AAGATTAAATTATACAGTTTGTTTACAAATCAAAACAAAGTGCTGCTATAATCCGCAGCCGCTATGAATCATAAGATGGTAAATGAGAGAGAGAGAGAGAGAGAGATAGAGAATTCGAGAAGCACCTGCTAACATTACCAAAAAATTGAAAATGGTGGTTTCATATGAAGATAAGGCGCCTAATATGAAATCAGGGCACAAAAACTATAATTAAAAATTTTATTACAGTAAAAAACTAATTCATTGATTAATTAAGACAAATGACTGAAAACGTCAACTTTTCAATTGTTATCAGTAAAAACTAATTCATGTAGAAGATCGCTTGTATAAACTAAATCCAGTAAATCAGAGAAAAATGTAATACAACAGTACACGACTGGAAAAGAGAGTACAAAATCCAGTCTACTGCTTAAGCATGACTCTATGTAAGATTCTTTTCCCTTCCGTTAAAGTTTGAACAGACCAACATATCACATTAAGGAAAACAAATCACCTTCTCAGCCTTGGCAGCAGCTTGTGCAGATTTTCCATACAATTCTTCTCTAACAGCAAGTTGACCCTTCAATTTCTTATCTTTCAAGCCCTGAAAACACAAAATCCAAGATGCAGTGACAAATAAACATGTATAAGTTTCATGAAAACTCAAAGTTTCTAGGCCATACCTCCAAATTTGCTTCTGCTCCTCTAAGAAACTTCTTCACTCTCTTATCTAACTCATCAGAAATCTTCTCCAGCACATTAAGGTACTGCCCACTTTTTTTTCTCATTCCCTTTTTAAGAAAATTATGTGCACATAAGAGCCTAAAGTTCGGCTCTCACGTTGGTGAGTTAAACAGTGCAATGTACAAAAGGTGAGAGCTTAATCCAGAGCTATCATAACTAAAATACCAAAATATCAAAACTCGAAAATCTCCACCTAACAAAACATCTAAAAAACATATTTTCAATGAGGTTGAGTAGAATCATGACTGCAAGCAGATCTTGTGGGACTGCTACAAAAAATATAAACCAGTTGATTTCCGTAATAAAATATAATCAGTTGATTTTCAGGCGTACCTGTTCCATTGCAGGCACAGTGTCAATAGTGCCACCATCTTGTTTCACACCCATTTAGCTTACAGCAGTTTCAAATCCTTCAAACGCAAAATGCCCTGAAACTTGATGAGTAATACAATTCAACGACATTCAAATTTTATTTTTCCAAAGAAAAAAAAGATAAACTGGTCCACATAAATCTTTTAGCTTGAAAATCCGCACCCACAAACCAACCCAATTCAAATGGTGAATTTGTTATAAATGAACACTACGATTTGAGGATCGATCACATACCAGCTTAACAGCCATCTCCTCCCCACTGTGTACATTTACACCTAACACCAGAAGAGCAATTTCATTACAAAACACATTAAATTAACACAATGAATAATTTTCTAAGGAAAAAAGGATATCAAGCACTGATTACCAAACCTAAATAGAGTTCTCCGAAAGACCCACTCCCAATCTTCCTCCCCAGCTTAAACTTCCCAGCAATCACATGCTCCATGATGCAACAATGTCGACCCACAGACTCAAACTGGCTTTATTTCACAGCAATTGGTGCAAAATTCTTCCTTCCCAATCAAATCCAGCTGCACGGCATGCTCAACCGGCGAAAATATGCATATCCCCTTCTGATTCATCCACTCTGAAACCTGCAACCTATAACACATTATTACGAAAGCAGGGGAATTTCCAATTACTTATGATACAAACAAACACATTAACTAACAAAAATCCTAATTCCCTCTTTCACTCACTTTCTTTAACTAAAATTTAATTACTTTGATGCTTCTTTCAATTTGCTTTCATTTTCTGAGCAACCAAACAGGGGATAACACAAATTGCTAGGTAAGAAAGAAAGATGGAAACCTGGAGGGCTTGGGAGAAGCGTTTCCGCTTTCGGAGGTCGTGAATGATGCGCTGAAGCTCGCTGACTCGAACTCTGTTGAATTTGGGGCAAAAAAAAAACAGTCAATATTCCATGGTTTGTCATTTGTCAACTTATACAATTCAAAGTAGCACATCTCTAATTCAACATATCCAATTCATATCAGCACATATAAAAATTTCAGTTCAATAAACCACAAAATAGATTTAGAACACTATAAAATCCTCTTAGTAGCAGAACATAAACATCAAAATCCAACAGAAAGACAAAGCAGCATACCAGTTCTCTATCTTGTATGCAGTTTTCAGGTGGATCTTCCTAACTCGTCCCAAAAAACCGTGTATATAGTTCACCTGCAAGCATCATCCCACAGCCAAAAATTAGAAAGAACCAAGGAATACATAAGGAACCAAGAAATGGGAAAAAAAATCAACCAACAGAGGAATGAGAAGCAAACACCAGAAAATTTTGAAGAAGCACAGAAATGAGCACAGTGAAACCCAAAAATTCGAATGATGGTTCTAAGAAAGCAAACGGAAAAGAAAATAATAAACAATTACTTTCAAACAGTGCATAACCTATTGAATCAGGGAGACAGATTGTCTGCCCTTATGTTTGGATGATCTTCACATCTCCTTTTATTTGTATAGTCACGCTTAAGTTATGTCAATATTTTATATTCTTATTATTTTTTATCTTAATATTTTTATAAAAAATCAATATAAAATGTTAACCTAACTTAACAGTAACCGCACAAAATAAAAAGAGATAAGAAAAACACCCATCAGGAGGGCAGACAATCTGCCTCCTTGAATCAGAGGGAAAAACTGAAAACCCATACCTTACCTTGCCATACACCGCTCTGTCACTCCCTCCTCACTAACCCTGCGCACTAACCCATTAATTAACCCCAAAAAATGCACACAGCCATGCTTTCTCCTCTCTCTGTCTATCTCTATCTCCCTATCCATCTCTCTATAAAATCGGAAACCCCCCAAAACACGACCTAACATACTAAACTATTAGAAAATCTAAGGCACCATTAATCTGAAATTCGAATTGAAACACTGTTTATTTTTACCGTGCCAATTTCAAACCTTTCTTTAGACTAAAGTAATTGGTTAGTCGAAAGATGATGACAATCTCATCAAATGATTGCTGGATAAAATAAAGGGATTGGACGTGAAAATTACTTGAGGAGGAAGGACTTTCTAGTCCAAGAAAAGTGTGTAAGGTCACCTATTTCATAGGTCCTTCACACTCAAGGGAGGACATCTTTTGTAACACAAAATATCCATATTGCATTTGAGTGAGCAAAGGAAGCCGTTTTGCACTTTGTTCAAATCCGATAGATGATGTTTTCCATATCAAAAGCATAATAAGAACTCTAAAGGACACAACACAGTAGCTTACTAATTCAAAAGATTAAATGAACTATAAATGGACCAATGGTTAATCGAACAAATTCAATACAACTAAATCACATTCTAATTTTAAGCTAAGCACTGTATTACCAAGAAAAGTGCCCATATTGCTGTGAATGTAAAAAAAAATGAGTTAGCACTATCCACTGCTCATTTGGCTAAACGAAACGCCCATAATCTATTCATTTCAAGTAAGTAAAAATCCAAAATAGGGAGATGGAGATATCAAACATTGAAAAGTGATTAAATTGCCATCTTAACAATCGATTTAACCTATATACACCTCTTCTTCTACTTCTTCAAAGCCTTTTCCCACCAAGTGGGGTCGGCTAGATGCAACACGAGGACTTCCCAAGAGGTCACCCATCCTAGTACTACTCTTGCCCAAACTTGCTTAACGTTGGAGTTTGGATGGGATCCGGTGCATGTGAGTTGGTATGAGTTACATCCTAAGAATTCGACGTAAGATAGGAGTGTCGGCTGTCGGCTACCTGATGCCCTCCCCCTCCTCCTTTATCCGGGCTTGGGACAGGCAATGTAAGATAAACTTACACAGGCGGAGTTTTAACCTATATACACCTACAGGTATCAAAGTTGATCTTCGATAAAAATAAAGTTCCTAATGAGATAACTGATTCCTAGTGTGAGTCTATCACTTCTACCTTTTATGGCAATGATTACTTAAAGTTCTCATGCATACCAGATCTCAATAGACTCAACAACACATGGAGGTAAGGACCAATCCAGTAATCTTGTGAAAAGGGGATCCCTGAACCCTTAAAACCCACATACATCTTTTGGCAAGATAAGTCACATTGCCAAAGCACAAAAGAAAAAATAATAATAATGTATTGACACATTTAAAAAGAAATTCCGAACCTTTTGTACAATGCAAGAAGGTCTGGGAGTATTGAAAAAAATTGTCTATATTAAGAAGTATTCAATTTTTTCTTTACTATGCTCAATTATGTGGATGTGCATTGTACTGCTAAAATGATGACAATTATTTGTCAAAGGCAAGTGGATTTCTACCATTTTATCAGAAAATGTTAACATCAAAGGAAAGAAAGCTTGTATGGAATAACAATCGTTTAAAATTAATGACCATATTAAGAACAGAAAGGTTTCAGCAAATAATTGAATGTAATACAATAGACATAGATGACAGGATTGAGTAATTAGGAATTCTATCATTCAAGTGAAAAAGAAAACATAAATTATAGTTGAAACAACTCTACCTTTACTTGGAGCCTTAACTTCAAGTAATCGATTATCACACCAAGCATGGCAGCTTTAACTGTTTGCACAAAACGGAATCACATAGAATACAGATGATGAGTTTCCGCACAAAGTAACTAAAACGACGTAATACCTAAGATCCAATGAAGCCAAATTTTGCTTGCTATATATGGATATGCATCCTATCAGAAACATCCAATTGTAGATCATAATGTGTCATCAATATCATAGTTTCAAGTAATCAGTCTACTACATGGAAGAACACAAAAAAGGGAAGTAGAAAAGTAGAAGACAGAATGGGCATCTGGCATGAATAGTAAGTTTCTGAAAAAATTACTAAACCATCTTACATAAACCATCTTACAAATTCAATCATTAAACGTTATACTATAACCCAAGACAAAGATTAAATTATACAGTTTGTTTACAAATCAAAACACAGTGCTGCTATAATCCGCAACCGCTATGAATCATAAGATGGTAAATGAGAGAGAGAGAGAGAGAGAGAGAGAGAGAGAGAATTCGAGAAGCACCTGCTAACATTACCAAAAAATTGAAAATGGTGGTTTCATATGAAGATAAGGCGCCTAATATGAAATCAGGGCACAAAAACTATAATTAAAAATTTTATTACGGTAAAAAACTAAGTCATTGATTAATTAAGACAAATGACTGAAAACGTCAACTTTTCAATTGTTATCAGTATTACATGGACTAAAAGAACAGGAGAAGTAAGATTTCATGTAGAAGATCGCTTGTATAAACTAAATCCAGTAAATCAGAGAAAAATGTAATACAACAATACACGACTGGAAAAGAGAGTACAAAATCCAGTCTACTGCTTAAGCATGACTCTATGTAAGATTCTTTTCCCTTCCGTTAAAGTTTGAACAGACCAACATATCACATTAAGGAAAACAAATCACCTTCTCAGCCTTGGCAGCAGCTTGTGCAGATTTTCCATACAATTCTTCTCTAACAGCAAGTTGACCCTTCAATTTCTTATCTTTCAAGCCCTGAAAACACAACATCCAAGATGCAGTGACAAATAAACATGTATAAGTTTCATGAAAGCTCAAGGTTTCTAGGCCATACCTCCAAATTTGCTTCTGCTCCTCTTAAGAAACTTCTTCACTCTCTTATCTAACTCATCAGAAATCTTCTCCAGCAAATTAAGGTACTGCCCATTTTTTTTTCTCATTCCCTTTTTAAGAAAATTATGTGCACATAAGAGCCTAAAGTTCGGCTCTCACGTTGGTGAGTTAAACAGTGCAATGTAAAAAAGGTGAGAGCTTAATCCAGAGCTATCATAACTAAAATACCAAAATATCAAAACTCGAAAATCTCCACCTAACAAAACATCTAAAAAACATATTTTCAATGAGGTTGAGTAGAATCATGACTGCAAGCAGATCTTGTGGGACTGCTACAAAAAATATAAACCAGTTGATTTCCCTAATAAAATAATATCAGTTGATTTTCAGGTGTACCTGTTCCATTGCAGGCACAGTGTCAATAGTGCCACCATCTTGTTTCACACCCATTTAGCTTACAGCAGTTTCAAATCCTTCAAACGCAAAATGCCCTGAAACTTGATGAGTAATACAATTCAACGACATTCAAATTTTATTTTTCCAAAGAAAAAAAAAGATAAACTGGTCCACATAAATCTTTTATCTTGAAAATCCGCACCCACAAACCAACCCAATTCAAATGGTGAATATGTTATGAATGAACACTATGATTTGAGGATCGATCACATACCAGCTTAACAGCCACCTCCTCCCCACTGTGTACATTTACACCTAACACCAGAAGAGCAATTTCATTACAAAACACATTAAATTAACACAACGAATAATTTTCTAAGGAAAAAAGGATATCAAGCACTGATTACCAAACCTAAATAGACTTCTCCGAAAGACCCACTCCCAATCTTCCTCCCCAGCTTAAACTTCCCAGCAATCACATGCTCCATGATGCAACAATGTCGACCCACAGACTCAAACTGGCTTTATTTCACAGCAATTGGTGCAAAATTCTTCCTTCCCAATCAAATCCAGCTGCACGGCATGCTCAACCGGCGAAAATATGCATATCCCCTTCTGATTCATCCACTCTGAAACCTGCAACCTATAACACATTATTACGAAAGCAGGGGAATTTCCAATTACTTATGATACAAACAAACACATTAACTAACAAAAATCCTAATTCCCTCTTTCACTCACTTTCTTTAACTAAAATTTAATTACTTTGATGCTTCTTTCAATTTGCTTTCATTTTCTGAGCAACCAAACAGGGGATAACACAAATTGCAAGGTAAGAAAGAAAGATGGAAACCTGGAGGGCTTGGGAGAAGCGTTTCCGCTCGGAGGTCGTGAATGATGCGCTGAAGCTCGGTGACTCGGACTTTGTTGAATTTGGGGCAAAAAAAAAACAGTCAATATTCCATGGTTTGTCATTTGTCAAATTATACAATTCAAAGTAGCACATCTCTAATTCAACATATCCAATTCATATCAGCACATATCAAAATTTCAGTTCAATAAACCACAAAATAGATTTAGAACACTATAAAATCCTCTTAGTAGCAGAACATAAACATCAAAATCCAACAGAAAGACAAAACAGCATACCAGTTCTCTATCTTGTATGCAGTTTTCAGGTGGATCTTCCTAACTCGTCCCAAAAAACTGTGCATATAGTTCACCTGCAAGCATCATCCCACAGCCAAAAATTAGACAGAACTAAGGAATACATAAGGAACCAAGAAATGGGAAAAAAAATCAACCAACAGAGGAATGAGAAGCAAACACCAGAAAATTTTGAAGAAGCACAGTGAAACCCAAAAATTCGAATGATGGTTAAGCAAACGGAAAACAAAACAATAAACAATTATTTTCAAACAGTGCATAACCTATTGAATCAGGGAGGCAGATTGTCTGCCCTTATGTTTGGGTGATATTCCCATCCCTTTTATTTATATAGTCACGCTTAAGTCATGTCAATATTTTATATTCTTATTATTTTTTATCTTAATATTTCTATAAAAAAATCAATATAAAATGTTAATCTAACTTAACCGTGACCGTACAAAATAAAAAGAGATGGAAAAAACACCCAAACAGGAGGGCAGACAATCTGCCTCCTTGAATCAGAGGGAAAAACTGAAAACCCATACCTTGCCATACACCCCTCTGTCACTCTCTCCTCACTAACCCTGCGCACTAACCCATCAATTAACCCCAAAAAATGCACACAGCCATGCTTTCTCCTCTCTCTATCTCTATCTCCCTATCCATCTCTCTATAAAATCGGAAACCCCCCCAAAACACGACCTAACATACTAAACTATTAGAAAATCTAAGGCACCATTAATTTGAAATTCGAATTGAAACACTGTTCATTTTTATCGTGCCAATTTCAAACCTTTCTTTAAACTAAAGTAATTGGTTAGTCGAAAGATGATGACAATCTCATCAAGTGATTGCTGGATAAAATAAAGGGATTGGACGTGAAGATTACTTGAGGAGGAAGGACTTTCTAGTCCTGGAAAAGTGTGTAAGGTCACCTATTTCATTGGTCCTTCACACTCAAGGGAGGACATCTTTTGTAACGCAAAATATGCATATTGCATTTGAGTGAGCAAAGGAAGCCGTTTTGCACTTTGTTCAAATCCGATGTGTGCGACCCTAACAAGGCTCTCTTGGTTGTGTACCTGGGTCTTATTCTTGGAAAGTCTTCATCTTTTCCCTAGTTGATTATTGCTGGCAATCTTGCGCAAGGGTTTTTCTTCTTTGAGGATTTTCCCTTGTAAAGCTAATTTTTGTATGTTTGGTATTTTTCTATTGTGCTTTGTTTTTTATCATTTCTTTGCACAAAACGGGATTAAAATTGACGTTCAATCTTTTAGTTTGAGTTCTTAGTTTTACTTTACATTTTCAGAACTCTTAGCCCATGAATTGAACAAAATTTACAATTACTTCGACGATGATGGTGATTCTGTAGCCAACAGAAGATATTGCAAAAGTGGCTGAGACCGATCACAGGGAATCTGCCTAAATGTCAGTTTAGCGATGTATTGTATTCAGATTTATTTAGACTTTTGCAACAAAAAAAAATTATGTGATAGAGAAAGAATTCTAAAAAAAAGGAGAGAAGATTTCGTCCACCAAGCGGGAGAGAGTGCGACAGACTTTTGTAGATTTCTTAGAGTTTAATTGATTAGTAGAAACTACATGAAATTTACTATTTTTTTTTTAAATATACTTCTACAGATCTTTTAGTTTGGTAATCTAATTGTAAACAGTTTTCATACACTCACATACCTAGATCGAGTCAATTATGTCACTCGATTTTGATACCTAGTTTGTAACTAAATTAGGTTGTATAAAGCTTAATGAGGTAATAATTTTTAAATTATACAAGAATTTCACATCGAAGAACTGACACATTTACATATGACTTGTATAATGAATGGTCTTCGTTTCCCTGTGATAGCTGCTAAGGTTTTTTTTTCCCATAGTTTTTCTTTTTCCCTTAGAGATTCATACATGAAGGATCTCATAAACTAAACACAATCATTCCTCTCTTTTGCTTAACCGGACAATAATTCGTGCACAAAGCAGCTCATGTACCCACAAAGTAACCTGTTGATGACTGCCTCAGAATCTAAGACCTACGAAGAACGCTTTCACAAGCCAACATGGTAGCTCACATGAATTACATATATCAAAACAATTACATAAGGCTTGGTAAATATTCAAAAGAGAAGTGGATATTTAAACAAAGAACACAAAAGTTTATTTGAAAAAGGGCTCATTGCAGGCCATGGTATAATTTTGTGGATCAATGTTGCATGAGACAATTACCAGCGGTCTTACATTTTTTTGGTATTTCTCATAGTTTATTTGATAGTATGCCTAAAAAAATAAGAAAGTAAATTATATAACTTGGGTACACTGATAAAGTTGCATGAGTGATCACCATCAATTTTGCATGATTAAACTTCAGTCTGTGACTCGGTTAAATAAAATTAACATAATATTCATCATCTCCATCTTTTATGTGATAGCATCCTAGCTATACATAGTTTAGGTTAAACAGAAACATATGCGTACTCCAATGAATGTGTACTAGTCCATTAGAAACGGAGATCAAGCTCAAAAAATTAAAAATGCCAAACACTATACTATCAGAAACGTACGAGTTCATTCGAATTAGAATAATTTATAAAATAATTCATTACCATATGGTTAAAATAGTCAATTTATTTTCCCATATATCCAATGGAGTGGCGTATTTAAACTAATTCAATTCCTAATTTTACTTTCTTTGTAGTAAATAATAAACACAATAAATTGAAATACCGAAGCCGTTCTCTTATTGATGGTTTTCATTTTATCTCCACAATCTTTGTACAATTTACATAAATGATTCCATCCGAGTTAACTCAATAATTGAGTTGTCCGTTTCAACTATCTGTTTCCATGACGCTCGTCAACGGAGTAACTCCCGAGTCCCGATCAACTCTCTTAACTTTTTTCCGCCGGAAAATTTCCAATCTCCGGCTGCCTTAGCCCTGACCCCAACAGTTCAAGTACATGACTTTTTGGATAGACTCGTCCGCGTGGTTCCGTCTCTCCTCGCAATTCCCCAACACTCCGGAGAAATCCGACCCAACTGCGCCGGATAACGGTCGGAGATCCGATGATGCGTCGCCGCCAGCGAAAGATGATCGCCCCCGGTTTAGCTGAAAGGATTTTAGGCCGGATTTCCACTTATGTCCATGGTCGACAGGGCCTTGCACCACCGCCACGCTCGCCGCCATCCACACTCGACTCAGTTGATTCATCGTACAAAGATCTCTTAACTTGAAAATTGAAGGTGAGATGATCGTTTTGTTTGTTGATGTGTGTTTTTGAGAGGTTGGTTTAAGTGTTGTACTGAGGAGACAAAGGCGGTTACTTATAGGCAAAGGTGGGAAGTGATACCGCGTTTCGTGAAACCGGTGGTCTATGGGTGAGTGGGAAGTGGTTTTGGGAGATAAGTGGTGACTTTAGTTAGGCGTGGTGGCCCATTTGTTTTGGCGTTTTCTCTTTTGCTTTGGAGGTATCAATGATTCCCAAAATTTAATAATTGATTGTGTCCAAACTTCACATTGTCATTTTATCCTCAGTTTCTCGCCGATTTTGATTTGTGATGTGATGTTAATATTCTTTTTTATTTTTGCAAATTGATGTTAATTATGTTCATTCGGTTTAGGAGATTATTTATTGTTGATTCTGAGGTGTGTTTCGGTAACGTATAAACTTTGTAATTGGAATTGTTATATTCTTAATTATTATTTTAAAATTATATCTATAAAAAATTATTTAGTTCGAAGATAATTTAATCATTCGTGCATATCAATTGATCAATAGTTTGGATAACAAATAATGTACTCATGATGAGTCATATATTTGTTGATGTATATGAATTGCTACATGTTCTCTTAAGTGACTGATCATTGACAAATATAATTTTTAAATAGTGATATTGAAAATTAACATCCAATTATAAAGTTGATCCGGTAAATATACGTTAATTATAAATGGGGGATAAGTAGGTCATCACCCCCTCGGAAGAACACAAACATTATCTTTTCAAAATGAATAGTACTTATGTTTTACATGTAGCTTTATTAAACAAACTTCATAATCAAAACTGTTCATACTTAATCATAACAATATTCTGCGAGTCAAGTCAATTACGTGTGGGTTATAGACGATTGTGAGTAGTACAAATAATTGAGTTACTATCACAGACACGAAGCATGGTGATTAGAAGATTGGTGTGCTTTTGAAACGCAAGTGGAAATTGTATAAACGACAATAATTGCATCCCGTCTATGAGAAGGATGTACATATTCTTTCATTTACGAATGATGTGCTTGATCAAAATCATTCAATTTATTAAGTTTTATTAAAGATCACACGTACTAAAATCATTTAAATTGGAGAATATTTATTCATATAAACGTATCATATAAATAGATAGTTCATTATGAAAATGATACTTTGTACCTATATGTCTTTTTGTTATGTAAATTTGGATGCTTAATTAATATCCAATTGAAATATAATTTTCTATAGGTGATTTACAAATAAAAATTAAGAAATGGAACAATTCTGATTATAAAATTTGTACGACTATGATATTTGTCAGGTCTTGTGCTCCTCACCAAGGGACTTACTTGTACATTTTCACTTAGGATTAACAAACCTTTACAATCCAAATACCATAATCATAATTGTTTCTTTTCTTTACCATTATATATGAAATAATTATATTTAAATTAGAGATCTTTAAGCTATTTATATGCATAAAATAAATGGATCATTTATCATGAAGATACTAATAGTTACCAAACAGTTGACTAGTTTAACATATCTGGATAACTAAACGATTTCTAAATTGAATAATTGTTTTTCAAATATATATGATCTGTAGATGATGAAAAAAAAAAAATGATTCCGATGATAATATTTGGATTGTAATAGTTCATTAATCATGAGTGATAGAACAAGTAAATTCCCGTGGAGAGACATAAGCATTATTGTTAAGAAAATATGAAAGATAAAGCTAATTATCTTTTTAAAAGTTGATAATTAAATACTAGATTGAGTACTCAAAGAAAAATTTCTACTTTTATGTATTAAAATTTTTTTGCTACAAGTTACATCTGGAGATAAACATTTGAATTCGGGACACCACTCATAACGCGTAACAATCATTAGATTATACTATTCATTATCTTTTGATTTAATAACAACATTGTTTGGACCATACACTGTTCCTTATCAGACTTTTCTAACAAGCTGGATGAGATCGATCGCGATATGCAATGATGAACCCTAGAAGAAGAAATGAAGAGAAAAAGAATCTTTGTAGTTGCTAGAAGGCAGCCAATGAGGGCAAACAGGTGTCGTGCTTATCCGAACTTTCCCCTTCAATCTCATGACTCATCGCTCGTGCATCCAGCCAGTGCAAACACGTGTACGTACAACATCGTTTCATCATCCCCTGCTACCCTCACGTCCTCTTTCAGCATGGGGCTCGCCCCTTGTCCTCTTCCCCCAGTTATCCTATATAACCACAGGGGTAGTTTCGTCTTTCCGATGTGATCGGAGAGCGGATGAGGTTACGGGGGGAGAGGGACACGTGAGCAGGCAGGTGCCAGTGGTCCTTTTGTGCATTTTGGCGCCATTGGGTCGTCATGCTCATGGGGGCATGCATGGCCATCACGTGCTTTGACATGGGGTCTGTCGTCTCTATAATCCTCGGGTTTTGAAGCTTTTAAAATGAATAATTTTTTGCTTTTGTTTTTAGTATTCTGATCTTTGAGCTTTTTGGACGGGTGAGATTTCATGCAGCGCGAACGAACGGTGTCTGATATCAGTCGGTTGATCATCCGACGGTCACTTCTTTTTCCCTTTTCTGTTGAAACTCGACCGACGACATTAAACTTTCATTTTTGTAACAGAACTTTGTTTTTTCTTCAAATTTTCATTTCATTTGTGTCGAGAAAATTTTGTCTGGACCTCGTATGAGTTGTATTGTATCATGCCGATATATTTACGGATACAAATTTTGGGAAAATTTGGTTACGGTTGTACGGTATCATCAATCATGTTTATGCAAAGAAAACTTGCTTGAAAGGATTGTATATTCATATTTATACTGTTTAGGAGAATATTTTAGTTTTTAGAGTTAATGTCACATTTCGAATTTACGAATACATAATATTTCGTTAACATGAACTTTCTTGCTAAAGAAAAATAATTTCTAACTTCTGAAGCATGTTTACAGGGACATGAAACTTTTATATATCCATATTGCATCCTCAAGAATATCTCCTTCCCCTTCTAACCTCTCAAAATGTTTCTAGGTCAATAGTATTTTTTTCAATCACACATCTATTAAAAAATAACCTCTTTGGAGTTGGAAAATTTGTTTGGTCACAACTTTATGACAATATAGAGGTTTTACCGTATAACTAATTAGGTATTGGCTAGTTGTAATCTCTATTACAATTGAAAACTGTCTTCAAGTTTGAATTCTCACCTCTATTGAGAGGTGATCAAAAGAGATATTTTTCTGATCGGGTTAAGTTTAACTAGTTGACATGGTATAGTATGAATCTATATGAAATAATTGTAGATACATTGTTAGAGAGATTGGGATTGTGTACTTAAATATAGAATGGTTGGCAATAACCCTATATATGTATGTGGTGATAATGAAGATATAGAGATACTAACTGAGTGAAATTGCCAAGTTAATAGAGAAATGACCTTTTTGAATGTGGAGAGGAAGAGGAAAGGTGGCTTACGATTGTAGGCATTTCCTAGCCCACACATTAGGATAAATCGTGAAATACAAATGGATTGTAGTTCGAGTTGTAAACATTACAACAGTTTTATATTCGATTATGTCTTCGAATATCACTTATTTTCAGTTGTTAGATATTCTTAGACCATCTTCAACCCTTGGACTAAAACCTAAAATTTTTAGCTCAGAAAATTTAGGTTTTAACCCAGAAACAATTTTTCTGGCTTAAAATTTTAGCCCCAAATTATTAGAGAATGAATTTTGGCTAAATTTTTTTCTTAAAGTGACTTTTTTTAAAAGAAAAAAAAATCTATGGACTATCCTAATTTAATTTTATGAACATTTTAACCTAAAAATATTTAGATTCTGAAAAATACTAAAAAATCATTAACCGACATCATGAAACTCGTTAAACACTATGAAAAAAATACGAAACACATAAAAGTTTTTTTTTTTAATTACTTTAGCCGTTAGATTTAAATTTGAACCGTTAAATTTTTGTTTTTACCGTTGAATTTCATCAAATTAAATCTTAACCATTGGATTTAATGAATTTATAAATATCAAACTAAATAAAATATACATATAAGGTGGGCCAGCCCCACTAATCCTGGGTTAAATTTGGCTTTATTTTAGGTTATAGGTTTTAGGTCGAATTTTAAGCTTGTGTTGGGTTGGATTTGGGGGAAGGGGAGGAATAAAAGGGGGAAAATAGGTTATAGATCAGGGTTGAAGATGATCTTAGGATTGAGTTTAGGATGAGAAGATTCATCATGGCTGTCACATACAATGGATGGGGATCAAATTACAACTTGCTTCCCACCATTTACATTCTGTTTATTTTTATCATTACTGCAGATGGGTCACATTATATAGAGTGGGACTTCCATTTCACTAAGGAGGTCCACCACCCATCAGGCATCAGTTTTGAGAATAATAATTGTGTTTACTATATCCTCTCTAGTCATTATCAGAGTGGGGAAGCTGGTGGAAATTGAACAACAAGAACTGGTCCCCATTGTAGAGATATCTATTATATCTACAGTTCCAAAAGTGCTTTTACAATATTCGCTTTTGGACTTTGTCAACAAAGAGAGAATGAAAAGAAACCCAACTGTGCTGCTGCTGGTATTGGAAACCAAATGTTTTAGATGTATCCATTCCTTTTTTTGATAGATTTTGCACTACTGGAGATTATTGTTCTTTGTATAATCCACTAATGAAGATGGTTAATTGATTTTTGATTCTTTGTGGGTTTCATTTGCTATCACTTAAGCTTTATCAATATTATACTAGTATATGCTCACACACAAAGTGTGCATAAAATGTTTTTTTTTTTTTTTAATTTTTAAAATTCAAGGAGAGAGAAAGAGACTGAGAGAGAATGTGAAAGCAAAGAAAGAATGAGAGAGGTTGGTTTATTTATTTATTTTTTAAAATTATAAACGTTAAAATCACTTGTAGGTGATGCTAAAATAAATAATAATAAAATTTTGTTTTATGAAATTACGTTACTGCCCTTAACTTTTTTGTTGTGATTAAAAATTAAATAGTCTTTTCACACTTCTTTAGTTGACAAATAAAGTTCTATTAATATGTAGTTCGGATAATAAATTTGAGATTGAACATACATAAGATCTTCCAAAAAGGAATTAAGGAGTTTGGAACTTTGGATAATGATAACTTTTTAATTATTTGTAATTACAGACAGGTATTCCATTGTTAAAGAACATTGTGATACCGATAATATATACTTAGTTGGGGATTAATTTATACTAATTAGAGGCAGTTACCTATCATTGTCATTGGCTTACATACCAATTCATTGTTAAGATTCGTTTAAAATATAAGATCTCCTCTTATTCTCCACATCATATATATAATCTTTTATATTAGAGGATAACTTTGCCATCTGTCTAGCTCAAGTTACTGCACACCTCTTCTTCCGATAAACACTTTGATATAACTTTTTACAAATCTTCAATTAAACTTGGAACTTTTTATGCTAAAGGGGACTACAAACGATTTAAGAATTTTTTGGATGTGTTTTAATAAAATGTTTTTGAAATCAGGTGAATTTTGAAAAAACATTTGAAGTGTATCGTAAAAGAAACACGTAACTGACTTTTTTTTTAGGAAACACTTCAAGTGTTTTTGAAATTCAAAAATATTTTCTCTCAAAACGCTTTCAATCATTTTAAAAGTATTTCTAAATGTACCGTTAGTGTCCCTTATTAATGAAAAAAGTTCAAAAGTTATTTGTAAAAAGTTCTATCTATTTGTATTGTATTTAGTGTCTCCTTAGTGGAAAAGTTCAATTTCCTACTGAATATTTGCAAAAAGTAAGTTTTATCTATTTGTATTTCTTTATTCTTTAAGCCTGAGTTTTTTATTCTCTTTGTGTGGGACTAAAAAATTGTAAACTAGAATCTCAAAGATCATGAGCAAGATACTCCATGAAAATAAAAGGGATACCAAGAAATGGTCTTTGATGGATAAGTTTGGTATTAATATGTTTGTTTTATGGTTAGTGGACCAAAAAATAAGAATTAAACTCAGATCTCAATCCACTTTCCACTAATTCCATATAATAAGGAAATGGAGAGCAGCCTCAGTATTGCTCTCTTTCAAGCTGTCAACTCTGAAGTCTGAACAATAGCAAAAGTATAGTTGTATGTGTTTAGAGCCACAACTTCCATGAAGTCATTAGTAATCTGAATCAAGATCATTTCAGATCATTACATACACATATATCATGATGCTTAAAGTGTATGTCAACATGGAACAAATAATTGCACATAGTTTTTGGAAATTCAGCAAGGAAACCGTAAATTCGCCGTATCGAGAGGTGTTCATGCTGCACGTCTCAAGACAAAAAATGAAGCAAAACAACCAGCCAGAACAGAGATTATATTTCTGTCAAATTTAAAACATTCATTTATACTATCTACAGGTTATAAGGTAGAGATGGGGACCCGAACGAAACAGTACTTTATTATAATTTTTCTCTTGAAACATGCTTCCAATTAGAAAGAAATGCCCTAAACAAACACAACTCTACACTGAATCAGCCCCTTCAACCTGCTGCTGCGCTAGGTATCTTTCCCTGCGCTCTTTCTACAAACGAAACCACACATACCGTAAGTAAGAATGTGCACAAGAAGAATGGTCTAAACAAACACAACACCGTCACTCTACCAAAAGAAACAAAAACAAGTTGAGTGCCTCACCCATTCATCTATGACAAGTCCTTCCCCAACAATCCGGGGGCCTGCTTCTTCTGGAGGTTTCTTTCGTGTTTCAAGGGCAGCTTCAGCTTCGGCCAATTGCCGCTTAAGTTTTTCCATTGCCTTAAAAAACAAATTTGAAAGTGAAAGGGCTTGTTACTGAGGCTAAAGCTAAGACAACCAAAAAAGTATGTATTGTGCAAGAAATGGCAAATTGGTCCATCTACTTACAGGGGTAGGGCGCTCAGGGTCAAGGAAAACAACACGCAAAACCTGCTCAACCACGACTTCGTCCCTCTGCTCATCAAACTACATAAACAAATGTTACAGTTGATGTTTAATATCTTTGAATTATGATGCACACTGGTTTCTATCTTGTCATAAAGTAAAAAATATACAGCAGATTTCAGTTCATAAATCGGATATATAGCAAGATCAAACCTGTTGCAGAAGAAAGATATATGGTCTGAACAAATTATAAGGAAGCCTTAATTAGAAATTATGACAAATGTTTGCTAATGTAGTATGTGACATCTGAATTTTCACTTATTAACATATGGCGCAGAAGGTTATAGACAGCATGTGCTTTCACAATTGCAAGAATATTCCCAATTTTCACACACTGGAGAAAACAACCTCAAATTTGATATCTCAAAGTCTACTCACAATATTTACTGATATTATCTTGAGGGAAAGTAAAAATGTTACTGTGGAAAAACAACGTAAATGAATATGGTAAAAGTTATATACGAAATGCCTGCAACTATACCAGTTCTGGTACATAGTCCATATCTCCCTTCACTTTTAAGCTCATGATCTTGAACTTCACCCTGCTCTTCTGGTCTACAGCTGGTTTCTCATCGTTCTCCGGAGGTTCCACAAACTTGAAAACTGTCAAGATTTAATATTACAATTTTCAACAATGAACGTGCTAAAATATGACTAGCTAGTATGTTATTCATTGCAAATATATGGATGTGAAATATAACCTGAAATAATGGAAGATCATGAAAAATGAATTACCAGTTGCAATAAGACTTTCACCAGGAGCAAGTATACCCCCAGGAGGACGCATGTAACAACTCTTTGGTGCAGTTGTTTGGAACTAAAGCAACCAACACGTAAGCAGTTAGATAGCCGTATCAAATTTGTAATAGGAAAACTCCTGATACTGTCATCCCATGCTATACAATTTTCAAAACTATGCTAACCAAATTTGGTCGTAAATCTAGTCGAACAGTCAGTTTGTCCAATTAGCTATGACTAGTTTCGATAATGTTAGAGGTAAAATACATAACAGGGGAACTTAGAGGATCAATCCATACCTTGAAAGCTACAAGAGACTTGCTTGTGTTTTTTATCCCAATTGCACTCCTGACCTGTTTACCGGGTTCATCTTCAGACGAAACAATCACAATGTGAGGCCAAATATATCTACCTTGAATCATCTACCAGCGAAGGAACTCAGCCAACATTACACTTTTATAATGATTAGCAAATATTTCTGAGTGAAAAGCTTATAAGAAATCCCAAGTGGAACAAAACTACACAAGTGGATACTTAAAAACAAACTATCAAAGAACAGAGCATATCAGATGTACAGACACCACTTAGAACCGTCCAGATCAGCAAAAAGAAACAACATTTGGAACTACTATAAGGGCTTGTTTGGGGTCTGCTTGTAGAATGGTTAAAACCGCTTTCTAACAACCAAAAACAGCTTATGGCTACGTTTGGCAGAAAAAATTAAAGTGCTTTGACGGGTTTCATGTAAAAACAATTCTAGCAAAAGTACTTATAAGCATAAATGCTTCTCATCCAAGCATCACCAAACGGTCCCCAAGACTTTCACAGTTTAACTCATGAAACTAACAAATCATGCAACTTAAGCAAATCAAAGAACAAAAAATGTGGCATTATGTTTTATGTACTAAATGTTGGAGACCCAGTTAAACATTTGTCATTGAAAAACAGAGTCTAAGCTTAAAAGCACGACATTTCACGCAACCAATTAGACAACCCAAAAGAAACAAAGGTCAACTTTTTCCATTGAAATTCTTAGAAACCAGAAAAACCCAGATCACAATTATTACATAACAACAAAGATAACTAGAAAGATGCAAGTAAAGGGGCTTACATGGAAAAAAGAGCTTATTCGGAGGATCAAGATGCAGCCTTCTCCTAGCCGGAAGCAAAGACTTGGTCACGTACGACACAGTACTGGCGGAATGAAGAGCCATCCGCTCCGCCGCAGACTCGTGAATCTGACCCAGCTGGTGGTGAACATTGTGATGCATTGAAGACAAGGTCGAGGACGACGACGAAGAAGCGTTCCCAGACTGCCAAAACGGCATTTTGAATAGACTCCAAAGCTTCCCGTCAGGCCCAGATTTCTCAGCCTCCACAGCCATTCTCGACCAACTCGCCGGAAATCACTTCTCGTCGCTAGCAAGTGGGTTTCGCCAGAGATGGTGGGGAAAACAGTGAAAAGAGAAATTTTGTTTTTACGCGGATTGAAGGAGAAAGCTGAAAGATTGAGACTTTGGTGGCAAGTAGTGTTTGTGGGAGGCCTTTATGGGGTGCGAATGCCAAATGTGGATGAATGCGACCTTTCTTTCTGGACTTTTTGGATTGTCGGAACTGGCGGTGGTTACTTTTGCTCACTCCACTCTGTTCTCTTCTGTCGTTGTTGGCTGTCAGTTGGCAGATGTGGATCAAAGTTTAAAAACTTATTGTGGGCAACATATGGACTATATATATCGATTTCATACAAATTATTGGACCATATATTTCTTTTTTAAGTAATATCCTAATCTAATATCATTTTTTGTCTAACTAACGTCGTAATTTAATTCAAACAATGGGAGGGAATTCAAATTTGGATTGAAAGAGGGATACATTACCCTAATTAAAGTGGTTATGCCAAAATAAAATTATTGAATTATAAGAGCATAGTTGTATGTTTTTTCCTTTGTCGAATCTTACGCTAATTTGATTTTTGGGTGTCACCAATTTTATACATGTACATATATATATATATATATATATAGAAATATAGAAATATTCCATGACACTATATTTTAGTCCAACATGGTAATTAATTTGATTTTTTTTTTTTTTACGATTTCTTTCCTTCTCCACCATCATTAATTATTTTTCCTTTCCTTCTCCTGAATATCTCCTTCCTCCTTACCCTCTCCCCTTTCCTTCTCCAACTTTTGGATCTTTCTTCATCCTCCCATGGTTGCCTCATAGAAAATTTACTCGCATATTCAAACTTCAAACCACATAAACAAATCCTGCATCTGTCCTCCATTGCTCCACCATTTCAATCTCTAGTTTTGTTTTTTAATTTCCATTGTCACGTAATGAATGCTAGAGCTACAAATTTCGAAAATACCAGCACATAAGAATCATGCCAATTGACCGGATTAGTGTGCATACTCTCTTACATCTGAGTACGATTGTCTTTCATGTAAGTTAGAGCAATTTAAAAATACCTAGTCAAATATCATAGTAAAGTTTAAGATAAATAAGATACAAATCTTACAAAATGTACGTGTTTAACTCATACACTTAACTTCTATGTGTGATTAAAAAATTTGCAGATTTTTCATAAGTTTTTCTTAATCTAAAATATTAGCCGTTTAATTGTTACATATTTTTAGGTCTGTTATATTACTATGAAAGGAAAAAACAAATTCTTATGTTTTTATTTTCTTATTTTTTTATTTTTTTATTTTTTTACAAACGATATTATTTACACTAAAGGAAGGGGATGATCTTGTAATAATGTGGTTCAAACTCGTCTTAGGCAAGAATCGAACCTAAGACTCATTTACAAATGAAGATGAATATTTCTAGTCCGTAGTATTAAGTGGCAAAAAAAAAAAAATTCATATGTTATATACATAAGTTATCACATTCTCGCTATCGAAATAATTCTTATTGATCGATTCCTTTAGTAGATAACATTTTCTCTTCAATCCATTGTACTTCACGTTCAACCTCTCCCCTTAATATAATTTGAAGCAATAATATCGGTTGGAAAAGAAAAATTGATAGCTTGGTCCAAACATAAAATTGACAACTAGGAAGAATATACCCAAACCGTTGGTGGAAGAACTATAGCTTTGGATACGACATGGACATGCACCAAATCCGCACTTTCTTTCAAATCTTCGCATGATTCTTTTTTCCTTTCATCTCTCTTTTTATTCTTTTGTTTTTAAAAGAATGGATCAATCGCATGAGGCCATAATTAAAATAGGCTAATCATGTTTAGAGCATTAGAACATGTTCTCCTGGTGGTGCCATTAAAGATAACGATGCAGCAATCAGCAACTCCGCTGATATTCCCATGCGGCCCCCTCCCCAGTGGCTCTTTCAAAGGCATCTCATCTTTTTCCCATATTTCATGCACCATAATTTTGACCTGCCATTTTGCACTTGGGAAAATCACAAAGTTCAAACAGCTTTTGTGTAAAGTTACTTCCGTTCCCTTTATTTTTCTCACTGTGTTTATAATAATAAGTTGATCGACCCAATGGCTAATTGCTTGGACCAACATAATTGACAAGTGAAATTTTAGATTTAAGGGTTTCTCTCTCTTAATTATGTTAAACACATCAATTTAGTCCTCCAACTTCCAAATCGCTCGATGCGCGTTTATACTTCGATATACATAATTAATGCACGTAACTAATGCCATGTCAAATAATAGGATGACGACATTCAGTGACTTTGGAGTTTAAGTGGGAAGACCAAACTGATGAGTTTTCCATAATTTGGAAGTATTTTCAATTAGAATCCAAATTTTATTGTTTTATTTTTGTTAAAGATGAAATTCAATTCATTATTTGCTCTTGTATGTGTCATACTCTAAAAGAGGAGGACCAGAAATATGTGATTTCCTTCTTTCTGAACAAATTAAAAGGATATCATATTAAAAGACTACAAACACACAGCATACGTAACGCTTGGTAATGATTTCATAAACATGGGAGTGGGCAGGAATAGGATCTTTCCAGCTCAGTTGGGCCTCAACAACTCAAGTACATTATTAGTCTAAGTGGTCCTTCTAATTGCTTCAAAGTCCCCTTATTCTTTGACACCATTCTTTTTTCGAAGAAGAAGATTCTCCCACTTTGTGTAGAAAGTGGCTTCGATCATGTTGCTAATTAAGGGTCTTCATTTGGCACGTGGGCCATGGGCCTGCCTGGCCCATTGGAAAAAAGCCCAACCTGATTCATTATGGGATATAGGCCGGGCCGTCTTGTTATATAGAGAGCTAGGCTTGGGCTACGGTGTTTGAGCCCAGGCTCGGCTCATAGGCACGTCTCATTTAAAGCCCAGGATGCCTGGCCCGTAGGCCCATTTCATTTTACACACACATGACACACTTATACTAGTTGTTCCCATTTCAGCCCAAACCCAACTCACTTTCTCTAGTCACTACTCCACCTTAGAGCAAGCCCAGCGTGGGCATTTGCTCGGGGGACAGGGGATAGAACAGGGGCTTGAGGCCCCGTGGACCAGCTCTAGTGTGGGCAAGCCCAAGTGAAGGTGCAGGCCCGAGCACTGGGCTCGTGGAGAATTGCCAGCCCGAGAGCCTGAGGCCATGTGACGTCAGCGCTGACGTTAGCCTGGCGTCAAGCATTATTTAATTTTTTTTGTGTCAGGCGCATGCACCCCACTCGCGTGTGGGGGCGCGTCGCCGACACAAAATCAGAAAAAAAAATAAAATTTAACTTTTTCAGTTACCGTTGGGAAGCCACATGGCTTCCCATGGTCCGTTCGATCTCAACGGATATTTAATTTGGACCGTTCAATCTCAACGGTCAAAAAAAATAAAAAAGTCTTATTTAATATCCACCGTTCGATCTGAGATCAACGGTGGATATTAATATGCTTTATAAATAAAAAAATAAAAGAAAAAATAGTTTTAAAATTAAGAAAAGTTACCGTCGTGACACGTGGCACAATCTGGAGTGTTGAAATTCAAATTTTTTTATATCCAACGGCAGAGATTAATTAATTGAATAAAAATTCAAAAAAATTGTAAAAAATTCAAAAAAAAATCTGAATTTTTTTTAAAAAAATTGTTTTTACTTTTCTATAAATACCTTCTCATTATCATCTACCTTACACAACAATTTCATATTTTCTCAATTACTTTCAATCACATTCCTTTCTTCATCTATCCTCAAAGATTGTGAACAAATTATGACACATGGCGCGACGTGATTGATTAATAATTTTATCAGAAATCCATCACCAATAATTGTATTTTCGGATAATAACACGTGGCATAACGAGTACGATTAAAAAATTTATCGAAAATCCATCTCCAATAATTGCCTTTTCGGATTTTATGATAAGTGGCGCAACGACAACGATTAAAAATCTTATCCGAAATTACAAATAAAATTATTTTGTATTATTTAATAATACTTCGGATAATGACACGTGGCGCGACGAGAACGATTAAAAATCTTATCCGATATTACAATTAAAATTATTTTTGTATTATTTTATAAATAAATAAAATACTAATATTTAATTGCCTATTGCCAGGGCTATTGAAGTGTAACGGTGGAGATGCAAATGCTATTGTTAGGGCTATTACTGTTCATTAAGGGCAGTTACTATTCATTATGTGGATTGAATAGTGCATAGCCTGGAGGGAGGGCTTCAACGCTGGAGTTGCTCTTAAACTCAAACACATCCTTTCTCTCATCTCCAACTACAGAATCAAATTGATCTAACGGTAATTAACATAATGGTGAACAAAAATGTATCCTCCAAAATTTATTGACGAGTGTCCTTATGTGATTGGTGTGGTTAAGTCTCTTGTATAAATAGTGAATCATTGTCACTATTTCCTAAATTCCGATTCCTCTGTTATCAAAGAGTATTATGCAGACTTTCCTTTCCTTGCTTTCATCTTCTTTTCTCATCTAATTTCTGTCATCAATTCTATATTTCTTCACTTAATAAAATGCAGTTAATGAAAATAACAATTTATGGATGAATCTCCAAACTTTGTAGGGAATGAATATTTACGTGCCGGAAGAAAATGTTTCCAAAGTATGTACAGATTACAGTGACCTCAAGCTGAGTTTAATTTGGCCTCAGTTGGGAACCCAAGAATTTAGATACATAACTTTCCTCATAGACTCCTCTGCCGGCTTTGCTTTCTCTTCTCGCATGATTGTGTTTGAAACCCTAGCAGCAGAGGAAGGAGAAGAATACAGCTCCTTGGCCTGAGAAAACGACCTGGTGAGATGGTTCTTGGCATGCTGGTGCATCAGTCTTATGGCGTCGTTCCACCTACACACCCCTTGGTCTTTCAGTACTTCCACAACTCCAACCGTTGCCCCCACGATCCAAGCGCTACTTGCTGCACTCATCATCTAAATTTTCCTTTTTTTCCTTGGGACTCTCTTTTGATTTGTACTGAACAAAGTATGGGAATTGAGAAAGGTTGAGTTGAAATATTTGGCAAGGTGGATGTATTATGTAGATGGGATATTAAGGTTGAGTAGTTTGATTTGGATACACGAATGGATGGAAGCAAAGCCAAAAATATTGGGGAAAAAACAGAGGTTGCAGAAGTTGCTGCTTGTTTTCCAAGGAAATCCACTGGTTTTTGTATAATTTTTTAGTACTTTTCTGCTGGTTTTCACACGCGCACTTTGTTTCGTCAATAAAATAGTGCTTTTA